TCAAAATTTTTTCGCCAAAGCCTACCTCAAAGTACCTGACTCTTGGATGCAGTCAAGATATTGAGCTTCTGTGATACAAAACACAAACCATATGCTGGGGAACATGATTATGTATAAGATACAATCCTTATTTCAGCCAAACTGGAGAGTTAAAATATCAGTACAAATAACTGAAAGATGGTTGGGTACTATAGAGATATAAAGATAAGGTACTGCTATTAGGTGTTCATAGAAGTTAGATTAGGCATCGCCGACAGAGTATATTCCATTTGAGCCAGTCTTTGAAGGATATAAAGGATTGGCCCAAACCAATAATTAGTCTACTTTTACTCAAGGTTATTATGGAGATACAGACTAATAAGGGCATAAATTGCTTAGAAAAGTATAAAGTACTACCCAAATGCAAGATACTGATAATGGCAATAGTAACATTATTGTTTCTGGAATGGATAGGTTATAAAAATATGCAATTTAGAATTTAAACTTCCAGTAGTATTTGTAATTAATTGAAGAACAGGTAAGTATTCCTATATTTGTTATCTTATTTTTCAGTTTATTTTTAGAATCCAAATGAAATTATAAAATTTAAATTGCTGTTTGTATTACTTTACTTAGGGAGTAGTTCCAATCTTAGTTAATAATATGGCAGCCTGTTTTTGAATATAGGGTCATGCTTGAACATAATTTCCCACTGCCAGTTGGATACATTAGAGCATCACCTCAATATAAAAGTGATTTCTTGAAATAGCTTGACAGAATCTAATATTTTACCTAGAATTGTTTCCTCCTTTTCCTTTTAAGAATCTCTTCCTTATGGAAAGATACCTATACATGAAGTTACACTTGTTAAGAAACGAAGTTCCAAAATATAACTTCAATGTAGTCAAAGGCCTGCATTGTGATTTTAATTTTAAAAGTAAGTTTGATTTCAGACACAATCAGTGGGCATGATTGGTAGGAAATGGTGAAATGCTTTCAGTACTGTAGAGTGTATCAACTTTTGTAAAATGTGAATTATAGAACCATTTCCTGTATCTCATAGGTATTTCTAAGGGAAAAAAAATAAAGACAGATGTTACACCAAATAGCAAAGTAGTGTGAGTTTAAAAAGAATTGCTCTGCAGTACACCTCTTCATTTTCCAGTGAGGAGAAAATTATTATTAAATCCTATAAGTAAATATGTTGTGCTAATGTGCTGAGTCCATTTACATTTTATGGAATAATTTTATTTGTTCTACACTAGCTGACTGGCAGAGAAATTGAACGATGCTTGATGATAAATATTTTAAAGTTGTAATTCAATCAGCAGTTGACTTTGGAAATCTAAATGTAAACCCCAAAATAAAAAATGTTGTTTGCTATCTTTGGTAAAGGGTGAGACAGTACACAATACTGGGGAAACCAGCACAACTTGTACAAGGAAAGGTCATGGAAGCTCCCTAGACACATCCAAACTCCCTGAGGGACTGAATTGCTGGGCAGAGGGCTGTAGGGACCATGGTCTTGGGGAACATGTAGCTCAACTGGCATAACACAGTTTATAAAGACAATGTTCTACATTCTACCTTGGTGAGTGGCATCTGGGGTCTTAAAAGCCTGTGAGCAGCCATCTAAGATACTCCACTGGTCTCATCCCTTGGGGAGCAAGGGAGAATGAAGAGAACAGGATACAAGGAAAAGATTAGTCCGAAGGACTAATTGTCCACAGCTACCAAGGCCTCCACCGGACTGAGTCCAGTACAGCTAGATGGTGCCCGGCTACCACCGCTGACTGCTTTGACCAGGATCACAACAGAGGGTTCTGGGCAGAGCTGGAGAAGGATGTAGAACAAAATTCTAACTCACAAAAAAAAGACCAGATTTACTGGCCTGAAAGAGACTGGAGAAACCCCTAGAGTATGGCCCCCAGACACCCTTTTAGCTCAGTGGTGAAGTCACTTCTGAGGTTTACCGTTCAGCTGGGGATTGGACAGCCCCATAAAACAAAATGGGACTAATGAGGCACAGCAGTCCCGGGACAAGAACTAGAAGGCGGACGGGGACAGGAAATCTGGTGATAGGGAACCCAAGTTTGAGTAAGGACAGTGTTGACAAGTAGTGGGGTTGTTAAGCATTGTCATAGGCAACATATGTACTGTTTAATGAGAAACAATTTTGTTCTGTAAACCTTCATCTAAAGTGAGAATAGCAGCACAACTGGAAGAACGTAATCGATGTCACTGAACTGTGCATGTAGAAATTTTTGAAATGGTGTATCTTTGGCTATGTGTATTTTCACCAAAACAAAAAAAAAAAGGTTGAGAAGGGAGAGGGTTGACATGTCTTGGGGTAGTTAACCAATGTCATAAAATAATATGTGTACTGATTGTTTAATGAGAAACTATTTGTTCTGTAAACCTTCAGCTAAAGTACAATAAAAAAAATTTTTAAAAAAGAAAAATGTTGTGTGCTATGTTTGGCTACTCTGAGGACTGAAATACAACCTTCCCCCACCACTTCCCAGTGGACTTTTCCTAGGAAATCAGTTGTCATTGTTCTGGCAAGTTTCTTTTCATCCTAAATTGTACTAACAGTTAAAAGAAAAACTGTCAAGGTTGTATAGAAACATATTTTAAAGATGATTTTTAAAAATTATAAGTTAATAACAATATAGAAATGTAGAAAATAAAAAATGAGTATCCTCCACAATTGGAGTATATCCTTCCATATATTCTATGCATATATGATAATAATAAATATAATATTTATAGATATGGTCTTTTTTCATTAAAAGGGTATAGTTTCCCTGGTATTCTGTAGGTTTGTTTTTTACCTTAACAATACATCGTGGAAATCCTCCCTTGTTAGTACATATCTAGACCTACCACATGTTTCTTGAATACTATATAGCATACTATTCTATAAATGGAAAAAACTGAACCCCTAATGATGAGCATGTACTATATATGTATGTCTGTGTGTGTGTGTTTAATTCAAACTTACACAGTGAAATCTGTGAGAGTCGGAACTTGACAGGATTGCCTTGTTTTTCTGGATCTCAAGAGTTTTCCGCCTTGGACAGGGTGCAGCCCAACCACTTTTCTATTGCTCCTTTTAGTGGAAAATATTTGAGTTTTCCTTCTCTGACAAGTTTCCGCCTTACACAGGTTTTGACTTTCACAGGTTTTACAGTACAATTAAAATCTGTACAAGAATAGAGGGTCCCAGGCAGAGTGGGAGAAAAATGTAGAACAAAATTCAAATTCACAAAAAAAGACCAGATTTACGGGTCTGACAGTGACTGGAAGGTGGCCCCTGGACACCCTGCTAACTCTGATCTGAAGCCATTCTTGAAGTCCACCTTTCTGCCAAAGATTAGAAAGGCCTATAAAAAGACAATAATACGTGTAAGAAACGTGCTTCTTAGTTCAATCAAGTCAAAGAGAACAAATGGGCAACACTTGCCCAGAATCAAAGACGAGAAGGCAGAAAGGGACAGGAAAACTGGATGAATGGACACTGAGAACCCAGGCTGGAAAGGGAAAGGGGGAGAGTCCTAACACATTGTGGGGATTGCAACTAATGTCACAAAACAATTTGTATATAAAATTTTTGAATGAAAAACTAATTTGCACTGTGAACTTTCACCTAAAGCACAATAAAATTTTTAAAAAGCTGTATAGAGCTTTTTAAAAAATCTAAACTATATAGACATGGCTCACCTTATTCTAGGCTCATACCCTAGAGGCAATCTTTTTCAACAGTTTCTTTTATTTCAGTTTTCTAGTGGCTATGAGTATAATTTTAAACAATACATGTATACTTCCATTTATTGGTTTATCAGCTTTAGACAATATTTCGGTGATACAGGACTGCACTGCAAGGAAATACAAAACGCTTGACATTCTCCAGATATATGTTTTAAGGATTGCAGAATTCCTTTGATTCACCCATCCACTCTATCACTTAATTTCTCTCTTAAAATTTATTAAAGCTGTGATTCTCAACGGGAGGGAGAAGAGCGTGCTGTCTTCCAAAACCCACCAGAATAACAGATCAGAATCCTTGGGAAGGTCTATTTCAAAATACACATACCTTTTTTCCTATCCCCAAGTGGAACATGCTTACCTGGTTGAAGATCACTGCGTGTAATCTTAGATGTTACTAATTGGGAGTGTGTTGTGTACATAGGGGTCCCTGGATGGTACAAACAGTTAAGCGCTCAGCTACTAACTGAAGGGTTGGTAGTTCAAATCCACCCAGAGGCACCTTGGAAGAAAGTCCTGGTGACCTTCTGAAAGATCACAGCCTTGACAATCCTATGGAGCAGTTCTACTCTGAAAAACATTGGGTTGCCATGAGTCAGAATCGACTTGATGGCAGCTAGTTGGTGGTTGTATACAGAGGGTGAAAGTAGGGGGAGAAAGTTAAGAATAATATATATAAAGGCCAAGATATTTAAGTGGCAGACCTTTCTGTTTTCAGGTTAAGGGGCATCAGTCTCTTCATTTTCTGTCACTGGTGTTGTCGGCAGTAGCTGAGCTCTCTTTTCTATTTACTTCAAGAAAGTTCCTACATAAGCATTAATGCAAGAACAGCAAGTCAAAGTAGGAATGTGAGTGCTATAGCACAGATGGGCTCACTTCTGAGATGAATGTGTGGCTTCTGCATTCAACATAAGGGCAAGTCAAGTTTATTCAGCAAAATTGCTATCAATTGAATAGTTGAATAGTTGAACTCTGAATACTAACTCTGTGAATGCCAGACCAAATCAATCATCTTTCATACCTTTAAACCTGTAAAAAAAAAAAAAAAAAAAAAAATCGGAGAGGTCTATGATTCTGTCTGTTTGAAAAGCCACCTTACTGGATAAAGCAGAGTCTAAAAATGACAATGACAAGGACATGCTTGTCTAGAGGGTAGGTTCTGCAGTGCTTTGAGTTCTGTCTACAACACCTAAAGGTAAGTGAAAGCTTAAAATGAGAAGTACTAAAGAGTTCTCTGCCTGTTTTATCCACAGACTGCAGCTGAATATGTAAAATCTCGACTCCCAGAGGCCCTGAAACAGCATCTTCAGGACTACGAAAAAGACAAAGAGAACAGTGCACTGTCTTACCAGACCATCCTTGAACAGCAGATCCTGTCAATTGACCGAGAAATGCTAGAAAAGTTGACTGTGTCCTATGATGAAGCAGGTATGTTTGTCTTGCATACACACGCTAGATTTTTTTTTTCCTGCAGAAATTTCTTTGTAGAACTTAGTAAAATCTAGGCCCTTTTCTGAAATAGTAGGTTAAGGGGAAATTAAATTCCAAGTTAATTTCTTCTGTACAGTTTTAATATCAAGCTTTCTCAGGCAATCCCTAAAACTGGCTCTTAAATATCAAATCCCCTTTAAATTTTTGCTCTTTTTTACATTGAATTTTTCTGACCTTTCATCAACCATGATCTAAGCTTTTAAATGTCACATCAATTTTCGTTACAAACTGAAAACTTTTCTATCTGATAATCCAAGAACTGTCATTTGATTCAAGTACTTTTGTAAAAATCTCAGATTTTTCTTTTCTAAAAGCATAATTTTTTTCTCTTAAAGTTGCAGCTGAACTTTGACTTTGTTTTCCTTCGGCTCCTCAGATGAGGAGCCCCTAATACCCTACCAGAGACTTCAGTTCATTGTCTGCCATAGATTCATCCCATCCAAGGGAGCTTACTAGTGAAATCATGGACAAGCCATGGAGAACACTGTTCTTCTCTATTATATATAGTCCATCAGCTAAAACCCAATTTTAATGAAATGGGCGTTATAGTACTTGAAGTTATTATACTCTTTCATAAAATTAAACTTACTTAGCAGAAATATTCTAATTAAAATTGCCATATCAAAAAAAAAAAATGGAGAAAAAGTACAAGAAAATAGTTTCTAATGATCAAATGTTGGTAGTATTGATCCTTATTTTAACACCAGGAACTCCTGTTTTTATTTCCACAAGGAAATTGTTAGCATGCATCTTATTTTGTCCATTGTAATATAAATAGTTTCATAGCTGACATTCTTAATGTTTGATTTCAAGCTTGACTAGCAAACAGAAGAAGGGAGAAAAAGCTACATCTGCCTTACCACTAATGCAGTTGTTCTAGTTACTTAGTAGCCCCATTTACATTCCAGCCACTAGCCCCCTATACATCCCACTTAGACAGGACTCACACGTCAGCCTTGCCCAGAACGTCTCTACTCTCCGTGATTCTCCATTGCTTCATTAAATTTCCAGACACATTGGCTTTCTTCTGCCTGTGGGGTGGTAGTTATTTGGTCTCTGTGTTTGTTTTGTTTGTTTTTAATATTCTTCTCTTTGGAATTCTCATTCATTGCCTCTGTCATCCCTTGTGGAATAAAGTAAGGCTGTGATCAGCCCCAATCAAAGTAACATTAAATAATCATAGCATCTTAGAGATTATAGAACTCATATAATTCATCCCTTCCCTGCCCCCATAATCATTTTATAGTGAGTAAACTGAAACCCATAGACCCATAACACAACTACTTAGTGGTGGGGCTAGGATCCCAACCTCCTAATTACTAATCAAGCTGGGCTTTCACCACTCTAATCAAGGTTTTCATTCACTTACTCAGTAAGCACTTCTTGAATGTATGGTAATATACTAGGCAGTTGGAAGAAAGACAGAAGGGCATTGAAAAGGTGGGGAGGAATTTGAGATGTAGAAAACATAGATGTTGCTTAAGGTCCTCGCTGAGGAGCTAAAACATACCTGCATGACCTTATGAGAAATATTCCAGTGGAACTTGGGAACAAGTGCAATCCACTATATCCACAAGCTATAAAAGTTAAACTGAAGGCGTAAAGAGCAAAGGAATTGTGAAAATGGGTCAAGTTTTCCATGGAATTAGTTAAGGGAGGATATTATTTAAACCCTGAAGGACAAATGATGGATGTGGATTTGTGAAGAAAAGAAGAACACGTTCTATGTGGATGAATGGGCACAAGTGGACATCAAGGTGGAAATGAACATCGTCTGCTCAGTTTTTTTCTTCTTCAGGAATAATTTCCCATTCATTCACACTGTCGCTGAGAAATTACTAATTACTAATCTGTACCACCACCACCAGTTGCCATCAAGTTAACTTCAACTCATAGTAACCCCATGTGTGTCACAGTAGAACTGTCCTCCATAGGATTTTCAATGGACGATTTTTTGGAAGTAGATCACCAAGGTGTCTCTCTGTGGATTCAAGCCTCCAACCTTTTGGTAAGCAGCTGAGCATGTTAACCATTTGTACCACCCTACCATTCCTGCTAATCTGCAGAAGTACACTTATACATGACCTTTAGGGACAAATATTTTGGCATGGATTAATCTATCAATAAACTCTGTAGCATGAAAGGGTGGAAGTAGCAGGGTTGAGAGAGGATCTAAGTTCCAGGCTTTCACCTCTAGCTTAATACTGGCACAGTCTTCAACAAATTAACCTCTTAGTGCCTCTGGTTCTTCATTTCTAAAGTTGGGCTAATAATATCTCATAGGGTTATTATGATAATAAAGTATGATCATGTTTAAGGAAGTGCTTAAAAATCATATTGCAAATGCTAATTAACGCTGCTAATGCTGAATGAGAACAAATTTGGATCTTGTTTCCCCTGGGACCAGTTTCAAGTACTCTGAGAGTCTTTTCTTGGTATGTAGTGTTTGGGGAGGCAGAGGCAAATTTAAAAAGATGATCATTAGAAACTTTGAGAAGTAAAGCAGCATCTTTTGTTAAACCACCCACTATGGGTTCAGTTTGCTCTTGATCATCCTGAATCAGGTAACACAAGATGATGGATTTGGTGGGGTCCGTGTGTGTAAGAATGAATGTCATTGTGTGTTGTGAAATCAAAAGGTCACTGCCTCCTCTTCTATACCCACTTATCAATGATTTCAATTAAGAAAAGGTAGAAAATATGAAAAGATATTACTATTTAACAGAAAAATATTTCCTAGTAACACAAAGGAATTGGGATAGGAAATTAATATAGTCTCCAGTATCTTCAGATATAAGCATCCTATACTAAGACACACTATTTGCTTCTTTCTATGCTATCCCAGTTTTGACTTCATCACATTCTCAGCCCTCTGAGTTTTAGGAAGTGGCTAGTTGGAAGACATCCTGGTCTCTGGAGAGGTTAATTTGCTTTTAATGCTTATCCACTGATAAATCAGCTTGAGTGATAAATCAGCCACCATCTGTGGCCTCAGAACTTCTAAAAACTAATGGGAAAAAATCATTGCACACTTGTCTAAAAACATTGGCTCAAAACTTTTTCTCCCTCCCTTCTCTTTCTCTGTCTCTACCTCTCTCTGTGTCCTCTCTTCTTCTTTAAATACAAATATACCTTAATGCTTTACTCATCTAGAATTCAGTTATCTAGCAACCTGCCATATCTGTACTTCAGCAAAGAAATGGGGAATAAGCAAAAGCCACATGTGTGCAAGCATACCATGTCAAAGAATTTGTGGACAAGCACATAAAATGGAGGCTTGATTTTCTCACTTAAAATCTATATATTTTATTTTATATAGTTCTGACCACTTAGGTTATATTTTCCAATATGATATTTTCTTGTTTTAGAATTCTTTTTCTAACTTTAAGAGTATTATGCTTTCATTATAGAAATAAGTAGAACAATATAATAAGAGAACAATAATTATCAGTAATTCTGTCATTGTAAATATTTTGGTATATTTCCCTCACTCTAAGCATTTTTGAAATATGGTTGATATCTTACAGTTTTATATCTTGCTTTCTTCACTTAACAGTATCACATAAGTACTTCCTCATTTTATTAAAACTTCTTTATGTGAAGATAACTTTAATGGCTGCATAATTATTCATTCTCTGAAAGTGCCATTCACGAAACTTTTTCCTACATTAAACATTTAAGCTTTTGGTTTTGCTATTATGAATAATGCTGCAATGAACAACATTATTCTGCTGTTTTGTATATTTTTCTGCACTGCATATTACTTTATAGAATAGGCTTTAGAAACCATAACAGTTTAATGTTAGAAGATAGGGGAAAGGGTGATGCTTGGGGCAGAGACACTGAGAGCAGCAAGGAGTGAGAGTAAAGAGTAAGCAGAAAAATCCCTGAAAAGCAGTTATCAGAAACCCCAAAACCATGCCACACTACACTCTAACCATTAAAACCCATAAACCCATTGCCATGGAGTCAATTCCAGCTCATAGCGACCCTATAGGACAGGGTAGAACAGCAGATCACCAGGCCTGTCTCCAAGGTGCCTCTGGGTGGGTTCGAACCACCAACCTTTTGGCTAGTAGTCGAGCAGTTACTGTTTGCACCACCCAAGAACTCCTTATTTTCATATACAGATTGTAATAAATGTTACTGAACCTTTTCTCTGTGAATCAAGGTCACCATTATGAACATCAACAATGTTGACCCTCTAAAACAGAGTCTGTGAATGCTGATTTGACTTACTCTAACCATCACCTGTTGCCATTGAGTCGATTCCAACTCATAGCAACCCTATAGTGTAAGTCAGGTAAGGAGGAAGCTGATAAAGTTAAGGTGTGCTTTTGAAGCAGTTCTTAGAAGATGGATTCATAGAGACAGTCAAGATTAGCAATAAGTTCAAGGCGAGCACTTGACTGTCCTTCCCCATTTCTTAGACTCTCAGCACGTAGGCAACATCTGGTACACAATAAATGTTTGTTGAATGAACAGTGTTTGTCTTAGAGATGTCTCAATAATAGATTTACAGTTCCCTTAGATTGATTACAGAACTACAAGAGCATGTCCAGGTGCTTCTGGAGGGTATGTACTGTAAACTCTTTATCAAACCTGCTCCATTAGAGATGGCCTAAGCCACATAGCCTTAAGACAAGAACATTAACTAGAGAAAGAAACACAAAGACAATTTCTCCAGGAACTAGAAGGTGGCTAGAAAGTAGTGCTTTTCAGGAGGGAATTTACCAGATGAGATTTCAGAGTGTCTAGTAGCTCCTAAAGATTGAACTTAACACTCTTGCAAAATGACGTTACTAATAGCAGCCCAGATGCCTACGATTATAGATCTTCAGTGTCTGAAAGTCAGCCAGAGGGTACATTTTGCTTACTCACTACTATAAATGGACAGTCACAGTACGTTAGAAATCCTGGCACTGTTAAAATGATCC